GGGTTAATATAAGAACGTGTTGCCACTCAATATTCCAGTTCGACCGTTTCTCGTATTTTTTCAGAAAAGCTCTCTAAAAGCTGATTAAATATATTTGAGTACAGTTAGAAAGAGCCTTTGCCATCTGATAATCCTTTTACAACTTACTAAAACTTTGAATGATTAAATATATCCAAGAAAGACTTGAAAGAGCTTTTGTCGTCTAAAAAAAAACTCCCACTTGCGCAACGTTTTGGCATCACCCTATGTGAGTGCTCTTATCTGTATAAAAGCTTGCAAAGGATAATGTATTAAATTTTGACCGCCAACAAGAGAATGTAAAAAGCGCTATAAATTCAAAAAAGCCAGAAAATGTATTTTTTGATTGAAGTAATTTAAGCAGCCTTTAATTCAAACTATTAAAAGAGCTAAAACTTTGGAAAATACTAACAAATGAAGATATTTTAAGGCCTTGTAATTAAAGGACTCATATGATACCACAGAAGATACAAATTTTACTGTATAAATTTACAACAGAAGCTTTTTGAACTTTTGGGGTTACTAACAGTTTTATAAAGCTAGAAAGCCCTTTTTGGTTTCGCTTTTATTTAAAAATCGTTAACTTATAACGCATTTTAAAAGAAGCTTATCAAAGCTCACTATTTTAAGATTAAATGTAATAGTCCAGGAAATGCCCCTTCATTGGCATGGGTTCCACATATTTGACGCTTTCCACACATTTTCTATAGATGATAAAAGCTCGCTCTGGACAACACTGATTTAATAACTTAAATAGCTGCTCGTTTTATTCGCTTTAGCTCATGTTTTCAAAAAGCTCAAATTTTCATATTTTCCGGCGGGCCCTAAGCAGCTTATATATACGCACACTAACTTAACTCGCAACTTGTCAGAAGTTTGGCCCTTACCATTGACCGCGCCTGAGCTTTTATTCCAATAGCGGGTATTCTCATTCTTATGGCAGTTAACTGTGAAATTTTCGAGAGAGAAAATACACATTAAGTGATCAAAAAGTGAGCACATGACTCAACAATCTACATACATACCATTAAAGAAAAAAACATGAAAACCTTCTATTTTTAACAACAAATGAACGCTTAATAATCTTCAAATAAACAAAAACTCCAACACAAAGAATCATGAAGACGAAACAGAAGTGTCAAAATGGGAGTTGGCCGTAAAGGCCAGTATGCAGCTCTTAAGAAAAGCAAACACTCCATATAAAAAAACGTACAAGAAATGGCTAAGAAATTTAGTTGTGTATAATTTTCTTGAGGCAGTACGCAGTTCTTAAGAAATTTGCTACGCTTTACGCTACTACGGTCTTCTAAAGTTTTTTGTGAAAAAAAGAGCCAAGGCAACCTATGCTTGCCACAGAAATACATATATGCCCGTTCTATTATCAGATGTCAAAATTCCTTGGACACACACACGAAATAATGACAATTTTTTTCTTGCCCGTTTTCTTGAGAGCTGCGTACCGGCCTTAAGGTGAAAACAATTCGTCGCTCAAACAAAGAATATCGATAGTTGTAAATACATATACATATGTATGTATGTATATACCAGTACGTACAGATGTACATATGTGCTAAGGCTTACATTAAAAAAAAAAAAACAATTGGCTAGCTTACTGTTTTTCAATGTTTAAACCAAAGCCTAGTATTTATTTACACAAGAAAGCGGGTACAAACAAAAAAAAAAATATTGTGATTTTCCACTACGCAATGCGCAGCTATTTATTTATGTAAAATATTTGCTTTCGTTTGCAAAAAAAAAATACCGCTTATTAAAAGGGTAAACATTATTAATTATGTATGTATGTAAATATATGGAAAGTTCAAAGCTTCCTTCGGTGATAAACAAATATGTACATATGTATGTCCCTGGAAATTTTATAAAATTTTATTACTTCTATTTACATATTTTCAAGGGTAAAAATTCCACTTATTGCGGAAGAGATACAAGCTATTAGTAACACTTTGCGATAGCCGAAACCAGCACGGACTTCGTTAACATTTCCTGAAAATATACCTATCCAGTAATAAAATATTCGGTGGATTTGCAAAGTTAGCTCGTATTTTTATAGGGTAATATTTCATGGGAAATATTTTCGTAGAACAATTTAACCCATTAGGGATTCATTGGTATAACATTTCATAGAAGGTTTCAGGGAAGATGTGAGTATATCCAACATGGGAACAGGCGGTGTCCCAAAGTCTACGACTTACGATTGTTAGATTTCTCTTCAAAACTGAAATTATCTACTGTGTCATTTATAATCTATACCTAGAAAGCATCCCCCGCACAGAGCAGATGATGAGGGCTGCGCAAAAATCAAAATTTATGCGTTAGTGTATATCTTAATGAATAATGAATATCACTGTATTCGGCCATGGACATTTAACGCGCTACTGCCAATCTATTTACCAAAGCAAATATAATATCAATACCAACGATATGTTTAAAAAGCATCTGCTAATTTTCTATACCAATAAATAAATTTGCATGCTAATTTTAATAAATAAAAGCAAAATGGGTTTTGTTAATTTGTGAAGATATTTTTTATTTTGTGATTATTTCGCACGTCTATGTTGATTATTATGAAGATGTTATGATGATTCATTAACAAGCATGCGTAATTAAGCAGTTTTAAATGTTTCAACTTTTATGCTATGTGTAGGGAGAGTATCAGCCTCAGGGCTCAACGGAGCCCGCAGCCTTTTTTTTCGTTCTGAAGGTGTCATATCGTTCACTGCCTCAGTTGTGTTTTGCAAGAGTATATATCCTCAGAGCTTAGAGAGTGTTCAGGGTGGCGTTTAAAAAGCTTACAGGCCAATCACTCCCTTTTCTTTTTTTTTTGATAAAATCATGGACAAATTAATTGATCTGCAACATGCATGCAACGAGGGTAGGTAGCTTGAGAATACCCTTAAATTGAAAGCGAAGTCGTCAGAGACAGCCTTCGGACACAAAGACTTTTGCAGGCATGTTCCGAAATTCGAAAATTTGAAATCGACTCGATTTCGATAATTTCTTCGATGGTTTTTAACCTAAAAAATTACAAGTCTCGCATTAAAATGATTTTTTTCATATCGCTGCTGCTTCTTTTACAGTTTTCAGTGAGAATATTCACTCCTTTCATCAGATATAATTAAAAAATATTTGGCAAATCGACTCGATTTCAAAGTTTCGAATTTCAGAACATGCCTGTTATAAATTTCTTGCCTTTCGCGATATCGAGGGCTTTAAATATCTTTTATGCCAATTAGACTTATATACAACATTTCTGGAGCAGGAATTGTACCGATGGAATGAGGCAGTGCTATCATCCAGCGCAGGGTTAATAAGGATATCCACTTATTTGGATTATGATCGTAAACGATCAGCTAGAGGAGCTCCCGAGTTGCAACTTCTGGATGATTGCCTATGAATTTTACGTTGTAATTTCAGTAAAGGGTAAATTTCTGAAAAATACTTATGGTCTTTATAACTAAGTGGTCTTCGAACAGTGAACTCGCTGTTAATCCTTAGTAAAGCTAAACTCATCTCGTTCGCTAGGATGCCGACAACGAGTTACCTTCATTGGAATCAGTGAAGCACTTGGGACCCCGCACTCTGACTTTTGACTTTTTGCATAGCATACATATCTACTGTCGATATTGTAGATAAAACTTACACGGATGAGTCGGAGATTGATGGAAGGTCGATAGAGATGTTTTTTGATGAGTTCTTTCAACCAACCTTAAATTTAGGCTCTCAAATTACTGCGGTGTTTTCCACGTAGAGATAGCTGACATTACGGAAGAAGCAGTCGACTGGCTGTTGATTTGCCCGACGGCGCACAGTGTGGATAGCGTAAAAAATTTAAGCTTAAGTGATAGAGAACTAAAAAAATAGGTTTGTTGGATAAAAAATAAATTGAAGTTACCTTCAAAAATTCGGTTTTTACAACCAAAGAACAGCAAAAATACATGTATGTATATTTAAAACTGTTTAAAAGTTCATTGCATTCTGTTTTCAGATCGAAAAAGGAAAAAAATAAAACCTTCCAGTTTTAAATTTGAAATTCATTAGTTAATTCTTCTAAAAAAACCAAGGCCAATTTTTGTATAAGAATCTCACTTTAGCGCAAACTGCAGATAGGTCTTATTGAATACGATGAAATTCCCGGCGTGCTTCACAATGCCTTGAAAGTATTTTTGTGTTCTTACTCTCTCCCAAAATTCTTATGACATCATTCATTAAAAATAAAATAGATTTAAATAGCTTTATGAAGTGAGATTTTCAAAAAAAAAAATCGAATTATTAGTTAAAATATTGTCGAAGGTATTTCAAAAATAGGGAAAATATCGACTTTCTTCTGGAAATTTAATTTATATTCTTACAACTCAGCCTACATTTCTAGGTGCATCAAATCAATATTTACCTTACTCTATCAATTTAATTGAATTAAAATTTTCAAATAGGTGGCAACCCGCTTCAGAATAATTTTTGACCATAAACTTTTTTAAACCCCTTTACGGGTATTGTAAAATTGCATTTATTTTATCAGTTTAATTTTATAAAAATTTTCAAACAGGTGGCAACCGTCCCCAAAAATATTTTCGGTAGTAAACTTTTCCAAACCGATTTACTTTGGAACCATATATTGCCATATTGATTTGTCTTACAATGAAATTAAAATTTACCGACGGGTGGCAACCTTCCACAAATATATTTTCGGCTGTAGGCCTTCTTAAACCTCTTTGTTTTGGCAGTCTTATTGCAATATTTGCGCCCAAATTCAAGGAAAGTGGAGAAAAATCTTGCGCCAGTAAATTACTTAACTCAAAATCAACAGGACACACACAACAAATTACCAATATTTAATATTTATATCTATGTACATAATTACTACATATATGCAATATTTGTTCATGAGCACACCTCAACTCCTCATCACAAATAAATACATATAAATCATATAATAAAACAGTTTACATTACTCATTTATTTGACAGATTAATGCAACAGATACACGCAACCAAGGCAAGGAAGAAAGGCAAACGCAGAAATTAGCATCATCAACAGCATAGATATAACCAGAGCTCTCGAGTATACTCGATGATAATCCATCCAGTCAAAGCGATAGCAAAGCGAACTTCACACAAAGCTTCATATCAAAGCATCGATATTTGACCAGAGCAGCACACAACTAACACTGTGCAATAAAAGTCAACCGACATTTAGCAGCAGTTAGCAGTTTGACGAGTCAGTCGCGCACATACGGACGCACACACCTCAACCACCTACATACTCGTACCTTGCTTATTACCGAACTACCGGCTTATCTACCGATTAGCATATGTATATATACATATATGCATTTTGTTTTTATGTATGTAAATACTATAAGTAAGTGTGCGAGCGCTTCAACTTTTATTGTATTCATTATTCTGTGCCTAAAAAGAGCAGACGCTCAGTAGTCAGTCGCATTGTCGCAGATTGGATTTTTTGTTCAACAAGGTTGACTTGAAAAACTCAGTTGAAGTGCGCGAATTTATCAGAACGTTGCCAGACGCGCAACGTGAAACAACATAACTTACATAGCTGCGAAAAAAGAGAAAAAAGAAGAAGAAGAAGAATCAAAGACGAGTTAAAAGTGTGCGTCAATGGGAAAATAAATAAATTTTGGGTCGAAACTGGAGTGCGAGCAGACTGTAGCTCTCGTTTTGGAGTTATCGAAAATTGGCTAAAACACGACTTTCTATCTTTTGCTGGACCACAAAAAAAAAGAGGAACGTACATATGTATACCTAAAAGCCACAATAACTCAGGCGATTTTTTTGTTTGTTTGTGTCTTGTTTTAGCACCGCAACGAAACCAAAAGTATTTTTGCATTTTATTACCAACATTTTTGCAACAGGCAAACGTGACAGAAAAGAGACAAAAGAAAATAGTGCTATAGCAAGCTGACGATGATAGTAGTAGTCAAGCATTTTGCAGCTAAAAAAAGTGAAAATATTTCAAAACAATAATTGCAACAAATTAAAAAAAAACTAACAACTTAAAATAAACCGCGCTACCTCAAAACATTGTAAACCAAGAGAAATAACTAAAAAATAGCAATAAAAATTAACTAAAAAGAAAAACACAGACTTAGTTTACAATAGCGAAAGAAAATTGTGTAACCAACCGCAGTCAGTATTATTTCGAAATAACTTAATAAGCAATAAAAATTCACTGCAAATTTGCTAAGAAAACCGTAAAGTATTTACTCGCCTACTCGTATTTGTTGTTCGCTTTAACCTTGAGTCAATCTGAATTCGCTATACAAAATAGAGCTTAACGAATTCCAAGAGAAAGAGTGCAATTTGTTTTGAAAACATTAACAGCAACAAAACTAGAAGTAAACACACTAATTCACACACAACCAGCAAAATGTCTACTTCGAAGGAACAGATTTACGCCAGTCAGGATAATGACTTGGATAAACCAAAAGGTGAGTTGGAAAAAATTAATATTTAAATATACTATATTTGAATCCAAAAATATGCAAATGGGCTTTACAGATTTTGGTGTTAGATTTTAGAGGCTAAAATCATGAATGAGACAAATTATTTATAGTATATGTATAAAAGGGAAGATTTAAAAATTACAAAAATTTTTTTTCGAAAATACTTCATATGGAAAATATGCAAAACATCTTCAACAAAAAAATTCTCAAAAATCAATGCGATTATTGGCTAACTCCGAAGTTGCATTTTTTACCAGAATTTAATGAGCTGCAAAACTGCATACCCAAAAAATTCTAAAAAATCTGATTAAAAAGTTTAAAATTGGCATGAAAATTTACTGAATTTTCGCGAGTTTCGCACAAAGTGTATATTATGAAAAATTTGCTGTGCCAATACTTTGTTCCGGCAGTGTACATGAGAAAACGGCCTTCGATTCTACATATTATATTCTTGAAATATTTTTTTTTTTAATTTTGTACTATTCACAAAATTTAAATTTTTTTATCGTAAAAAATTATAGATGCTATAAATAATTGTTTATCACTCTAAGGTTAAAGATAAACTAAGTAGATATTTTTCATTTTATTTTTTAATTTAAAAGTTTTTTTAAATCGTAAATAATTCTATAAATAATTTTTTGTCTCTTTAGGGTTAAAAAACTAAACTAAATAGACCTTTTTCATTTTATTTTTATTTATTGAAAGCAAAAAATTTAAAAGTTCTAATTTGAAATACTAAAACATTAACCCTTTCGAAACCACATATTTTTAGTGAAAAGATACGTCCCAAATTTCAGCTTAGAATTAGAAACAATACAAGGAAAAAATACAACTATTATCTTTTCAAGGGTATTCAGACAAAAAAATTTAGATTTCAAAAACATATGTATAGGACATTAAATATTTTTTAACTCAAATAAGTCGATGATGAAGGAATTGAATACCCCAATTGACCATTTGTCTACAGAGCAGGTCCAAAGGACCCGAATGAGATGGGGAACACAGCCATATAAATATCCGATGCTTTTGAGCTCTGTAACGCTTTCAATTGCTTATTTTCGGCGGACCCACATTATCACTCATGTACATGAAATGTATGCAATGCTAGTTTTTCCGCAGTAGAGAGAGGGTTAAAAGAAAGCAGGATTTTCTTTTATCGTCACAGCGGTGCCCGTTTGTCGCCAAAGGGTTAAAGCTTATGAAATTTTAATTTCTAGTGGCATTAACTATATTAATATATAATAAAAAATATAAATATTTTTCAATTAAAAAGGCCGTTCAAAATATTGTTTCCAGACTTTGTACGATTTCTTTGAAATGTTGAAAGAATATTTTATTTCAAGTATCATATGCTCTTATATACATATACATAGATACGTATATAAATATCTGTATGTGCTTCCATAAAATTTTAAATATACATTTTTATTTTGGATTTTGGAATGTTTTAAATTTTTTAAATTTGAAAAGCATTAACGTTATTTGAACTTAATTATTAGATATTGAAGGAATTTTCTATTTAAAATACGAAAATGTTGCATTGTATTTTTAATAATTACCTACAACTTCCATCTTTTTAATAAAATCTAAAAAACAAGTAATCTTTAGGGAAATCGGATCTTAACCAACCTATCCGATTAAAAAAATTATCGAAAACGGTAAACATGGTCCAAATTTATCCGGTAATATACATAAAAAAAAAATTTTAATATTCTGATGAATTGATAACCTTCCACCTTTTTTGAAGTTGGTTAAAATTTGTTTATTTTAACTAGGGCTGTGCGATTAATTGATTACTCAAAATTTTAATTAATCATAAAGTAAATAACTCAATTAGTCGATTAATTGGAAATTATGATTACTCAAAAGTTCAGTTACTCGAGTAATCACGATTTTTGATTAACCAAAAACAAAAATATTTGAGTAAAATGCTTTATGATTAATCAACATTTCGAGTAAAATGAGTAATCAACATTTCAACTCTTTACATATGTATAAAGTAGTTCAAGTTCCTTGATACTTTGAAAAAAATGTTTCTGTTTTCAAAAATTCAAGCAAACAATTTTTTTCATATACAGAATGTAAAAAAGAAAATAAGCTTTTTCCAAAGCAAACTCTATTAACGAGCAAAATTATTTTTTTTGAGTAATCATATTTCAAGTAACTCGATTAGTCATCGTTTTGAGTAATCAAAATCTTGATTACTCGAGTAATTGATTAACCGAATAATTGATTAACCAACTTGCTCGAGTAATCGAATAATCGCACAGCCCTAATTTTAACTGATTGAACATTTTCAATAACATAAGTTTTATTATCACGAAAACAAATTTCTTTTACAAAATATATTACATAATATTTTGTTTTATTTAACCAAATTTAAACTCTTTCTTAAATTTCAACACATTTGAGGATAAAGATTTTTTTAGGCGAAAAGTTGTACAGCGATTCGTCCATTTTGTATGTATTTATATGTGAACAAAATATTGAGGGATTTTTTTACTAGCACCCAAGCATCATCTCTGCTACCCCTTTAAAGAATTTTCTGAGTGCACAGAATTAATGAGTGCAAAATAAGTATTTCTTTTGTCGAAAATATGATTCTGAGAACAGTCAACCAGACTGACTTATTTCGGACTCTTTTGGTGTCATAAATTCTGAGACTTAAACAAAAGTAACAAAGTTCGCGTATAAGTAAAAATTGATTAATAATCAGAATTATAAAGAATATTTCTTTTTAAGACCCAGAAACACATCATATTTCAAACTCTAATATTATTCATAACTTGGAGTCGTATTGGCGTGCCCGTCTTGGAAGTAAATCCGAATATTTACAGGGATAGGCTCAGTTGTCACTTGTGGTTGCACACCCCCTGCTGCTCAATGATTGCAGCCAAATACATACGTGCATACATACATAAATGTATTGAATTTTATATTACTCAAGCGGTTAATTACTGTCACTTCGTATATGAAATATAAACTACAAAAAATAAAACAATTAAAAAAAAATGTTTAAGTTAACTGAGAAAATCCAGAAAAAAATATTATATATATATAAATTAAACCACTGTCAAAGCGTAAACAAATTTCCGAGATTACGGCACTTCAATGCACAGTGAAAATTTAAAATGCAAAACGACAAGTACTACAAATGGAATAGTATGCGTGAATGTGTTTTGAATTTTAAATCAAATAAATTCGTGCACTTCATGAAATTTCCTTCTGATATGTATGTATGTATGTATATACATAAGTCGTTATTCTTTGAGGTGGCATTTCGCTGTTGCAGTGCAAAATGTGGGGAAGTCTAGTCTATTCGGTGTGACGATCCTTTGGCCCACTTCGTTACACCTTGGGCTAGAAATAATGGGTGGTACATGTTCTGATTTGCATGCAGCACTGGCTATATTTACTCGAGGGCCATGTTGTAATCAAAAATGTTTCCTCCCTCTCTTTCGGAGAATATCCGCACATCTTTCAGGCGAAAGTCTTCGCATTAGTCCGGGTGCGTAGTTAGGTTCCCAATCGATAGCCAGACGGCGCTTATAGGCCCTTCTACCATGAGTAATCAAATCATACTTAGTTCTTGATTGTTTTGAGAAACTTAACTAGACGCCTTGGTTGGTACAAGAGAAAATACATATATACATAAATGGCATGGAAGGTAGTCTTGCAGTAGAAGCAGCTACTAGAACATATTAAAAGAAGTTAATCGACTAAGCTCATTAGGGTAGCGTCAGGCGAAGAGCTTACGTGGAGGTATAATGTAGAGTTATTCTAACATCTAATCAGCCGACCAAAAGAGAATTTAGACCGCCACTGCAGGACACTGCAGACGCGGAGGACATCTGCATAAGCTGGAGATATGGTCGAATAATCTCTATCGCATTTGCGATTTACCCAAGAGGACACTCTCGCATGTTCTCGTTGAGTATGACGCCGCCTGTAGACAAAAGTAAAGGCGCAGTTAGTCAACGACGTAGCCTAAACGTAGGTTGACGTAGTAATCTACTTTATTGCACTATTTTTCGAAGGCAAACATATCGTGCTCTATTCAAAACTCATTTTACTGGAACCCTGATTCTTTAGATAAAAATAAAAAGAGACAGGTATGTAATTATTTAACACTATGATTGTTCGCAAAAAAATAATCAAAAAAATCAACGCCCGTTTTTATAAATGGCAATTGTTAAATGAAAGAAAAAAGACATAGAGCGGAGGCAAAAAAATAATTAAATCAGTGGAAATTTCTGACAGCACATTGTTGATTATATGTCCTAAAATTCAATGGGCTATAAAACTGTATACCCAAAAATGTTATAAAAATTCAGAGGAGAAAGTTCAAAATTTTGGCGAAATTTTTTGAATTCTCCTAATTGTGGTATATAGCTTGAATTTTTGATTTTTATGATTTTGGTTAAAACTCACACAATATTATACAAAAAATAACAAAAAAGTTTTTAATTGAAAAACATTTTTAATATAACAAAAATCAGCAAGCGGTTTTTTCACTGAATTTATCTATAATACCTAACTCCAATTGAAGTTTTTTCAAATGACGAAGTTTCGTTGTTGTCTTTAGTTTCATTATTTTCGCCTTTGGTTGAAGGAAACCGAGAATATGTCATTACCATGATCTCAAATACTATGTCATTAGTTCAATAAAAATATAATATATACAATAATAAAAAATGTGTAAATATTCTTATTGAAATAACTCGAAAAATAGAAAAAATTTATAGTTTTTATTAAAATAACTAAAAAAGGTTATAGGTAGATATTTTCTTGATTTGGTAGAATTTTTGCAAGTACTATAAGTACTTTGTGTCGTCAGTGGCAACCCTGTTGTCAGACCTAATCCCACAGAAATGCTGCTAGAATATTTAGATACGTTCTGGCATCAAAAAGAATATTAAATATGGCTTATGTGTTTTTTGCGGTTAGCGCTCGAAATAAACCTCTATCGATCTATTTATTTATTA